AAAAGCAAGTGGGGAAAAATAAAACCACATCAGAACGGAAAGGAAACACAGGATCCTGCCATGTGGTGGTTGAGCTCCATGCAGAGCCAGCCCCCACAATGGTTCTGTGTGGACAGAGCCCATTCCCAGCTGAGGCCACCAACCCTTGCGGGTCCCTCTGAGCAGTCCGGGGGCCCGTGGGCTGCCACATGTTTCCACCCTTCCAGCTCTGAAGTCCCATTGCCCCCTCAAGCCTCTGGAGTCTCTTCCCTCGCAGTTTCCCTTTTCTGTCCCAGTGTGCCCTGCCCAGACACCCTCCCCAGGACACCCTTAGCAGCCTGCTCCCTCATCAGGGTATGAGACAGAAGTTAAAGACAAACAAAAAAGGTGAAAGAAAACAGGCAATCACAATATTGAGAAGAAACAATGGGAAAACTGGTTTTAAAATGGAAGAGCTGTTGCTGCAAAGACTGTAGACTCAATTTGTACTTCTGCTGGGCAGTTAACAGGCAACAGAAGAGAATGGCTGTGTATTTATGTCTTTGTTGTATTATGTTGGGAAAGACATCTTCACTTCTGTGTGCCTCATTGTTAGATCTGCCATTATTATTACATCCATTTCAAAATTTGGGAATAATGATATTGAGCTTACAAAGGTGTTGAAAGGATTAATTAACTGAAATCAAAGCATTACAAAAATCAGATTATTATGTTGTCAAATAATAAGCCTGGAACTTGAATTTCAGTTATGACTAGGCCAGTTTTATGCAGACAAGCCTCCACCTAAACACACTTTTCTACTTGCCTGTGTTTTTCTCACATACAAACTGTCAGATGTTATAGTCAATGTTGCTTGAAATGATCTATCACTTTGGAAAATTGTGAACCACTGGCATCTTCATTTGACATTCTCTGAAACTTGGGAAATGTGAATGAAAGTGTATTTTCTAGATGCATTAAACATTAGAAAACTCTACATATTGTGTCTTGTTTCGTTTCACGTGTGCTTAGTGGTTGGCCTTAGTGATGGCATGGTCATCAGCCAATGACGCAATTTTGGTTTTGCTCACACTATGAGAATCACATGGATTTATGGAGGGGTGTATGGTTTGCACTGATTTATACTGTGGAAAATCAGATAAAATGCAGCACTGGTAGATTGTGCCAAACTGACTTGATCCCTTTTTTTGGAGAAGATAAATACTTTTCTTGACAAGGATAACTCTGAAGATTTGATCTCTTCGGAGTTCAGTAAAGCTTTTGGCATGATGACACACAGGGAATTGTTCACTAAGCTGAAGAGGATGAGGATTAGTAAAATAATGTCAATACAGTAAGGCATGGGCCAAATGGGGGACAATGAAGTGTGTTGTGCTGACAAACCGTGGGGCTAGATGCATGCTGCTGGTGAAATTCCTCAGAGAGCAGCAGCTGTTCACCCTTGGCCAAAGGGAGGGAAGTGCCAGCTAGCGCTGTTGGTGAGGCGTTGTTCAGAGGCACTGCCGCTGCTGACTGACAAGTGTCTGGTGATCACTTGAAAAAAATAATAAATAAAGGAGTAACCATAAGGTCATAGTAGGACATAAAGTGGGAAATACAGTAAGGGAAAGTGGTATAATGCCTGCAGGAGCTAAATACAGGAATTTCTGCCATGAGATGGGGGTTATCACCTGGAAACAGACAAAGCAAAAGAAATCCTTGCTGGTACAATTTGGCCAGAGGGTAACTGTTAGCCAGCAATGTGAAAACAGGAAACAAAACAAAACAAAACATCAGCTTACTGTCTAGGGCACTCCCACCTCTTCTGAGCTTTTTCTAACTGGTCATATTTAGTACTTCATCTAACAGAGGTATGTAATTTCACACATACTGAAGGAGGCTCAATTCAAAATAGAGAAGATACACAAAAGGCAGCTTGGATAAATGGAAAAGCGGAGGAACAATGTTAGAAAGCAAAGCTAGGAGAGGACAAGTTTAGCTTTGCAAAAGGAAAAGTACAGAGGGGGCTTTATAAAGATCTTAAGATATCCAAGACTGGTGAGCTAGCTGAAGTCAAGGCCAGTATCGTCACGAAAGACAAATGGGTATAAAGTATTCAGAAATAAATTGAGGCTTAAAATTAGAAGTTCCTAACTATTATAGCAATGAGGTTCTGGTGTCCCTGTGGAGCAAAAGGGAAGCAGGAAAAATTAAAAGACCATGTTAATCATCTGTACTTCTGAATGAAACTAAGCAACCTGATCCAATGTGATGAATGACACTACGGATGAGGAAGTGGTGCTGCCCAAGAAGGTCCTTCAAGGATACCTTCAAGGAGTGCTTAACTGAGATAACTGAGCTGATTTCCTGCTGAGCTTGTTTGGGTCTTAGCTGCAAGTAGACAGCCACAAAGCACCCTGAGGCTGACTGCACAGACTCCATGGACAGCAGTGGTGTGAACATGGGCAAGAAAAGTTCAGGAGAACAAGGAAGCAGAATTGGCATCAGCAAAGACCAGGCTGCAAATTCAGTGGTTCTCATTATGTAACGAGAAGAGCATGTTGAGCATCAGCTTATCTGGCTGTCCACTGTACTTCCCTATCTTCCTTGCAGCACTGCTCTCTGCGAGGGCTGGCATGGTCACGGTGGCTGGGTCTTGATCCCCCAAGGGAGTCCCATATGGCAGTTAAGTCCTATGCTGGCCAGCAAGTGGAGAAATAAACCGAGTAATTAAGAGATGGGCAACTTCTGGTGCAAGATTTGCTTCTTATTCCCATAGACACCTCAAGAAAAACAATTCAGTAATATTTTCAAGGTTAAAGAATATTCTTCTAATTAATCTTGACATCTGTGCCTTTTTAAGAATATGTTGTGAAGACCCATATTACGCCAGGAGCTGTACTATGAAGGCTTGAATCTCTGGTCTCTACTCAACCAAAGATCTTGTTAAAGTCAATGTATTATTATTACTATTTGCAAAAGGTACTGTTTACCACTGTGAAAGCAAAATTTATTCCCCTACTTTAGGCTTCCCTAAACAGTTCCTTGACTCTCTTGACACTTACTTCTTTATACGAGACATTATCCAATGAGTGTTTTCTAGGATCATTGATTTTAGCGTGTACATGCTTGCTTTAAAGGCTCATTTTGCATGGCTCAAGGTTAAATATATTTATGGTACAGAATTGTACTAGGCAGCTGGGTCTTGATTTATAAAGTATTGATAGGTGTTTAAAAACACAGCAAATTCAAAGACAAGCTGATCTCAGCTTGTGTTAAATCTTAAAAAACAAACAAACAAACAAAAAAAAACACACAAAAAAACAGTTTTCTAAAATATGTTCTGCATTATATACATAAATGATTTTTTTCCACAGCCTCAGAAATTAATGAGGTTATGGTAGATACAAAGCTGTGTACTTTTTGACCCTGATGTAATCATACTGTGATTTACCGTTTGGGATCCACCCTCCTTCCCTTCCCCCTCCCTCCCTCCCCCCGTATGGTCTATGTGTTATTATCCACCTCAGCCTGAGATCATCTGAGCTGTATTTTGTGCAGCCCCCACTGGGAAGCCCTTAAACAAATGCAATAGCTAATACAAGAGACAAAGGGGAAAAGATGATCAAATTATCCAAGAATATTTTCAGCTACATCTTCGATGGCATAAAAAGAAACACGCTATTTCTAATACAATCTTGAAAACCCTGGGAGCATCCTGTGCGCTCACAGCAGGGCACTGGGTGCGGAAGCCCCAAGGCCAGACCTGAGGAGTGGCCCGAGATGGCTCCATCACTGGGACGTTACAGGGCATGGTGTGATTTCTGACACTGCTTTTAAATGCAGGGTAAAAGGAAAAGCACAGAAGGACAATAAAGCAAATATATGCAGAGTTTGAGAACAGAGGGATCTTTTCACCCCCCAGAATTCCTTTGGAATATGAAAATTGAGTACCCCAGACTTTACACACCCTTTTGCAGGTGCTGATGACCCGTCTGTCACTGTGTGTCTGGCAGCAGGTGTCGTGTGGCAGTCCTGGTGTCAGGGCACTGGTGTAGTTGCTGGCACGACGCCTGGCAGCTGGTGCCTGAACGGCGTGCACTGAGGGAAAACCCGGCCTGCTGGCCCAGCCACGTTGTTGTTGCTGCAGGGGAGAGGACCTCTGGCAAGCAGCTAATGCTTGGTCACTGCCCATGCGTGGTGCCAGACAGACCCCAAGGCTATGAAATCTCTCTCTGAAGGTAGTGGGTACTTGAAATAACATTTAGGATGAAGTTATCGGGGAATCAGAGCCCTGCAAAGCATCCATCGCTGTGGTACCGGTGTTTTCCCGGACACGTTTGTGGACGTATGCCTTACCTGTAGCCGAGAAGCACAGTATGGACGGATAAGACAGGACACAGCTGCTCCTTTGTCACAGCAACTCAATGGTGAGCAACACGGACTGCACAAACCAGCCAACCCTCAACTTTGTGTTGAATGATTGTAATTTAGATTTATTAATATTTATGGCAGAAGAAACATCGAAGTGTAGGACAGGGGTTTGGTGTAGCACTTCAGCACATGCCTTTAGAAGATGTGTTTAAACGGGGCAGACTTCCTATGTTTCTCTGGTTCAAGATGTTGTAATTGCACACGAGCAGATACTAATACTTCACCTGTCCTACTGTGATGCTGTAGCACGCCCTGACAGGCTGGAAGGGGAGAACGTTTTAAGCAGATCTCTTGGCAGGTACCTAGGACTGAGCCAACTCCATGTCAGCGCATGCCGGAGCTGTATGTGACCGGGCTGATGCCCCACACGAGGCACAGTCCACACACGACGGAGGGTTCCCCCCTTTCCACCCGCAGGGCAGCCGCCCACCCAGGCGTGGCGAGCTTAGCGCCACAGGGGGCGGTCACAGCAGGGGCGCGGGGACCCCGCCGCCCCCCGGAGCAGCGCCGCCAGCGGGGCCGGGCCGCGCTCTGGGCCCCGGGGCACCGGGCCGGGCGGGGCGGGGCGGGGCCCCGTGATGTCAGCGGCGGGCGGGCCAATGAGCGGCGCGGCGCGGCGCGGCGGGCGGCGGAGCCAGGGCGCCCCTCGTGCGGCGGCTGCATGGGGAGGGCGGCGGCGGCGGCGGGGCGAGGGGTCCCGGCGCGCCCCCGCCCACCCGGGGGCCGGGACTGAGCGAGGCGGCGCCGCGCCCCGGCACAGGTGCGGTCGCGCGGTGCTTTGCGGAGCGGAGCGGAGCGGTGCGGGTGCGGAGCGCCCTCCTTCCGGCGGGGGATGTGCCGGCCGCCGGGGGCGCGCCGCCCGTGGGAAGCGCGCTGCTAACGCCACCTGGGCGCCGCCGGAGCGCCCGGAGCGGAGCGGAGCGGAGAGGAGAGGAGAGGAGAGGGCTCGCCGGGAGCGAGGCAGGTAGGGCGCGGGGCGACGGTACCGGAGCCTCGGAGGGGCTGGGGCTGGGTTCCGCTTCGGGTTCACGTTTGGGCTCTCTCCGTCCTGCGCGGGGGTGTCCAGGGGAAAAGTTGCGGGACCGCCGCCTGCCGCCCCGGGGCTCGGTGCTGCGTTTGGAGCAGCCCCTCGCTCCGCTCCTTCGTTCTCTCCCCGCACCGCTTGGGCACAGCCGCGCCCCGGGAGCGGCGAGGCGAGGTGGCGGCCGCCCCTCCGTGCCCGTCCGTGGGGCCGCCGGCCGGGCAGCGCTCCCCTCTGCTCCCGGCTGCCGCTGCCTGCCTGCCCCGGGCCGCCCGCCCCGACGTGCCGCCGGCTGCCCGCAGCGCCCGTCCGCCCGGGGCGGCCCTGGGGTGCGCGGCTCCCCCGGCCGGGGCCGCCCCCGCTGCCCGCCGCTATCTCGGCGCGGCGGCCGCTCTGTGCAGGGTCCGCGAACGAGTCTCGCCCCCCCGGGGGGTCTCAGGGGGCAACCGGGAGCAGGGAGCGGGGCCCCAGCCTCTGCTTAACGCCGCCGAGGGTCCGTGCGGGGAAGCCCCGACGTGCCCGGTCGTGCGGGGCCGCGGGTCGTCTCGCCTGGGTTTTGCTGCCCAGCCGGGGGCTTCCCATGACCAGGGGTTACTTCGGGGAAAAAGGCGAATCCCAGCAAATATCTGTGCTGCCCATATATAGAAATAGTCGCGGGCAGGAGGACGGTAACTCGAACATTGCTGACACACGTCGAGAAACTTTAAAAAAAGGCAAACAAAAGCCAGGAGGATTCCTGAGGATGTTTCTGCCGGAGCAATGCATATTCCTGTGTTTACACCCTATGTTAACTGAAACGTTTACGCTTTTTTTTTTTTTTTTTTAGATATTATGCGTCCGTACCTCAAAGTCAGTCTATTGATTTTCCTTCGTCTGCTTCGGTGCGTTTAATCTGACAGTGTTTGGCTTGCTTGCTGGTGTCGGACCAGGGCTGTGGGAGATAATGCTGCCTTTTGCAGAAGGGAAGCCTGGTTTGGTGGCTTTCAGCATGGAGGCAAGCTGGTCACTTGTGAGATAGCAGTTCTCCGTGGCGTGGAACAAGTATTGCAGGGTTTTCTGGTGTGTGCTCTGAAAAGTTTTCATGGTTCTCTTTTTCTTTTTTTTTTTTTATTCTTTCTTTTCTTTTTAGTCCTTCTGTTTTGACCAGAAGCTTTTACTTGTGTAGCATTGCCCTGTAGAGACATATGAAGACTACACAGTTTCTAGTTCTGAATCTCAAAGTAATGTGTTTTTAGTTTGGTAATGTGTACCTGTTAACACGGTAACTTCAGCTGTAGGGAAGAAGAATTGGTTGACTTGAGCTGAAACACTGAAAGCCATTCTCTTGGACTATTTCGGATGTTGCCGTTTTGCTGGATCTTAGTAGCAAGGCAATGAAATACTCCAGGGATAATCTAGTATGAAATTAATCTGACTTACTGCCAGCTCTATCAAAACAGGTTGCAAGTTTTCTTCCTTCCTTCTACCTGCTCTGCGTGCTGCCACCAAACCCAGAAATTCAGTTTTGCCTTCTTTCACATCTCATTCAGAAGAAACAGAGCCATATTTATTACAGAAGCAGTTGTGAGCTGCACAGTCATGCCATTTTAAAGTAGATGAATGGCATTTTCTGGAGCAGCTGATTACATACTTCATATCATGTATCTGTATACTCTCAAGTGCAATTTATTTTTATTTCTTTTACTAAAGGAAATTTAAAGTTCATCTTACCATTGGTAATATGTTAATAAATTGTTGGATGCAGGTTGTATTCTAGAACAGTTGTCTCAGAAGTAGATTTCCCTGGTGAAAGCCAACTGTGACCGTATGAAAGATCTCAAACGCAGTGCTCAACGGTGTATTAAGTTTCACTCCTAAATATTAGTTTTAAGGATTCAGATGTCTTGGTTAATTTGTAAGCTGGTTTAAAAAAAAAGTCACACATGCCTCTTTTCATTGTAAAGCTATAGTTACTGCTTTAAAACCCTTCCTGTCTTGCATTAGTATTTGGATTTCAGACTTGGGACTATAAATGTTTTCAGGAACAAATCCTGAAATATGAAAGAAAAATCTTCTGATGACTAAGGTGGAAATTTCTCCTAAATATTCCAAAATTATAGTTGTTACGTTCATACCTTCCTTCTTCCATCAGTCTTGATTTTAGCAGACAGAAAGCTTACATGCCTACTTCTTGTGTTAGCAATTACTGTGCTTACGCAATGCTGTGTGACTGGAAAAGGAAGGGGAAGGAGTGCAAAAGGTGCTTGACACTAGAAGAAAGTTTAAAGTGATCTGGACAATGGTAATTAATTTTGTCCTTTATGAAGTAATGGCTGGTTTGTCATTAAGAAGAGGTTGTACTCTGAGCTGATGTGGTGCTCTGAGGATGAGACAAAGTATCTGCGAGGTATTTAAAGGCAATGAGAGCTCTGCTCAATGCGTGCAACTGCATGGTTGCTGTGCTTAGTGTGTAATATGATAGAACAGTTTACTAATATTATTAGTATCCCTTGCTGTAGTGACAGTTCCCCCTTTAATGAAGACGTATAATTAGGATTTAAAATAAGGAGCAGTATGGAGCACTATGTGGGGGAGGATATGCAGTAGCACCACTATTGGTATCTTCATCTATTTTTAAGTACCTTAACTTGTGATTGTGTAACAAGTATTTAAATGGTCTGTAAGCCTAGAATGAAAAGAGCGAACTTGTTAACACCACAAGTAGTCTGTTTGGTAAGTTTGTTCAGCAGTATTGCTGCATCCGCTAGGACTTGGTTTGTTGTTTTTTTTTTTTTTCTTCGGGAGAGCTGCATAGGTGCGTGGCTGCTGTACCAGGTGGAGCTCAGTCGGTCAGAGGTGCTGGGTAGCCGTGCATCACCTCCACACAAACTTGATGACTCTTGGACCATATGGCATATCACGCTGTAGAGTGCACAGTGGACTACGGTCTTGGGGGTGCAAGATAAAATAAAGGAGTTTGTTTCTTATTTGTATAAGCCCTGAATGCCATATTTAGGTTGGGAGCTCATGCTCCAGGACTTCTCTGCCATCCTCTTGTTTTAAGAGAGGAGAAGTGCATGCTGTGACACTTTCTGCTCCTTGTGCCTTGGTTGATGCCACTGCAACACAACCTGCATGCAAACCTGGCCAGGAGCATCACTGAGGTCAGGGGAAAAACTGTTCTCCTGAATACAAATTGTTGAAATTACCGCGTGTAAAATAGGAGAGGATGGAAGATTAACCCCCCTCACCTCTTCTGAGTATGTAGTTTCATAATGGAGGCATCAATTAGTGCAAAGGAAGGTAGGCTTAAGTGAATTTCTTCATTAAATGTTTGCAAAGTGAAGGCAAGGTCTTCTCTGTGGTTGCAAGGTTTTTCAGGGAAGAAAAAAAAGCAATTTATATTAGAAATGATAAATATTCAATTATTGAAATGAGAGCTAGAGGCAATCTGATACTTATGTAAATTAATCGTGACGGGTAAAGGTATAGAGAAATGTAGTTCTGCTATCAAACATTACGGATCATGGGAAAATGCAGCCAATTGTGTGTCATTACCTTTTCTCCTGTTTTCTGTGTTTTCATTCTAAAGCTGGCATAAACAGAAACTTAACTGTTCAGTTTAGAAAACTTTCATGCACACAAACACAGGGTTTTCCTCGCTTACCCAAGTGCAGTGTGCCAGGGCAGCCACCAAGCTGCAGAGCAGTGGGCAGCCCAAGCATCTGATGGCTAGCCTGGCTCCTGGCATGAGCCTCCTGCCTGCATTGATCGCCAAGAGGTTGGGGCTGTTTTGCTAGTTTATAGCAAGTTCCCATCAGCACAGTGACTGCAATTCAGTATTGTCCACTTAATTTTAGTAATTGACAGGATTACACTTGATAGACAGTGTTTCAGATTATATTTCATGTATTTTTCTGAATGAGGAGCTGGTGTGGTGACATGTGAGAATAATCTCCTGGTGTGTGTGGTTGATAATCTGACCACCTACGTTCCCAGTATACCTCCACTGGAAAAAATGAAGCTTCAGTTGCAAAAGTTTACAATACGAAGAGGTTAGAGATTTCCCTTTTTCTCCATCCTCTATGAGTTGATAAATAAATGAGGAGTGGTGATGAGTACATGTGTACTTAAATGTATAAAAAGTTGGTTGGAACTTCTGTGACAACATTCTGGCGTGCCTCACTTTTGGTAAAGAAAATGAGTTAATGCCTCTGGTCAGTTACAGCATGTAATGTTGCTTGTCTGTTTCTCAAGCTGTGCTCATGTACACACCATTCTGCCCATTGCTCACTTACTTGCAAGCACTGGTGTACTGGAGCCTGGGACTGAGGGCTCTGCGTGGGTCTTAGAGCTCCACGTGAGGTTTAAAGCTATCTCTTTCCTGGACAAATCTGAAGTCTTCACAACACATGTGAAGCAGTGTTCATAACACACTGCAGCCTCCATATTCCTGTTGTACTTCTAAGCTTGAGAAGTCCCCTCCAGCATCCAGGATTTCTGGTTTCCGAGAAATCTTCTAGACATCACTGCATGAAGGTCTGAGTTATCATCTGTAGGAAATAATCCTGACAGTATTGAAGGCAAAAATGCTATATATTATCTACAAGGATTTATAAAATAGCTCCAAGGAGCGATCTGCTGCTAGCCTATGACTCCATCATTCCATTATGAAATAATTGCTGAAGTCAATAAATTTACTTATGTGGGTTTCTAGGAGCAGAAAATACATTATTAAGGCAGTCAAGTCACTCTCAGGAAATCTTAATAAATATGTAGTGAAGAAGCACTTCACTTCTTTAAGCCTTGCATTATAAACAGCTATGCAGAGCCACTCTACTCTTTATAGGTTTGAAATAACAAGTTATGCCTAAAAACAATAACAAATCTCCCTAAAACCTTAAATACCTCCTAGGAGGTACTGGGCTGCAACAAAAACAAATAATTTGGTGAGATAATAGCAG